GCTGCAGCAGCTGGGTGCAGCAGGTGCCTGCCTTTCTGGGCGCTGCTCCCCACAACCGCTTGCAGGGCTCCCCTGTGCGCGGCGACCTCATAAGGAAGCTCGCTTTTCCCAGTGTAACCTGAAGACAGATTCGATGTGGGATCTATTCACTGCAGCGCATTTTGACGTCAGAAAGTCTAAAAAAATCCTTCACATCACCCAGAATTGCTCCGCCTGGACAGAACAAATAGTAATATTTCTGTCGTTCCATCCAGGCATTTTCACTTTATTATTACTATTTTTTTATCCTCACCTGAGGACATACTTAGAGGGAGGGAGGGAGAAAGAGAAAAGCATCCACTGGTGGCCTTCCCTGCGTGTCCCAAGCGGGGGTCGAACCCTCAACCCAGGCAGGTGCCCTGACCAGGAGCCCAGCTGGCAGCCCTTCAGTGCACAGGACGTGCTCAACCAACTGAGCTTCTCCAGCCAGGCTCCAGTCATTTTTAAATGATATATTCTATTATGTTAACTTTTGCACTTTCCTGTTTTGTGCCCTTAACGCACTGAATCTGGAGCATTTTCCCATTAAAGATATTTCGAAAGCCTGATTTTCAAACATTGCCTAGTGTTCCACTGACATCATGTACCATGGTTTATTTAGCCAGGCCCCTTGTGATGGATCGCGATCTTATTTTCCACGTGGGCGTTTTATAAACCACACTTGTATATAAAGCCCAGCCCCTTTCTCTGCCAGTTTCTCCAGAGTAAACTCCAAGGGGTGAAATTACTGGCCCAAAGAGTAGGAGCTATTTGACTAAGTCCTGGATTCCTTTCCCACTTGACACTGCTGAGCTGCTGCTCAGTGGTCAGCTCCAGCCTGGGGCTTGGCTGGAGAGAGAGGACCCCCATCATGCCAGTCTTTGGTGGACACGGTCTTCAAGGAGGTGGCGTGGCGTGGCAGCCACCTGCACTCTCTCCTCAGACAGGCCTGGGACAAAGTCCACTTCATTCATGCCTTTAGCAGTTTTGCTTCTATAAAATGGAAATTGGGACATGAAAGTCTGAGTTCTTGGGGAGCACAGTCTAGCTGCCCCCACAACTGTGTGTACCCCAATGTGCCAAAGGATGCACTTTTTGTGGCCAGCTGAAAACTTCTAGGGCTTAAGGCAAGAGAGGAAAGAAAGGAGACAGTGTTTCTTTAAACTGCCTCCATGAAATCTCCCAGATCAGATGGGGGCAGGAGCTGCAATAACCTTGACTGAGGTCAATGACTGCAGATATCAGCCTGGGTCCCTCAACCCCTCCCACTTCTTCCCAAAACACACAGGATTCCCCATCCACTCCTCTAAGTCACCCCATCAGTCTCTCTGCCCTCAGTGCCGGGGTTGCACCTCCCCAGGTCCCTGGACACTGTGCACAGGACTAATGTGTCTGCTGCAATTACAGTGTGGTTGACACTGTGTCTTGAATTCCCCAGTGCATTGAATATAAGGCACACTGTGATTTCAAAAATGATAAAGCATGAATTAGAAGAAATATATAATTTCTTTGTATTTCACTTTTTTATTTCAAATAGGATATAAAGTAGCAATGCGTAAAACAGAGCAAAATAAAAATTAACAGTCTTTTTTAAATGAGAAAAACAGCAGAGTATTTGGCTTCTGCTGCAGATGATCTATGATTCATGCTCTGAGGCTCCCCTATCTGCCACAAATGCAGAACAAGATAAACTACAATGAGAAGACCTGGCTGGGTGCAAACACCAGATAAACGCCACTGTGGCCCAGAAACACAGCTGCCAAGTATTGACAAAGCCATGGGCCTGCTGCACAGTGACAAGGACATAAGGCTGGGAACAGAGCCAGGCTTCCTATTTGAAACCAGGGGAGAGAGGGGATCACCCCTATATCTTAAAGCCAAAGAAACTAGCAACCTAGAAATGTCAATGAGTGCAGACAAAAAAAGGCCCCCCAAAAACCCTGCCCTTTTAAGCCAAAAAACCAGGAAAGGGACAGCCTAAGAAGACAGAAAACACTTAGACAATAATCACCCTACGCAAGCCAACACCACAGAAAAATTGGTGGCCCACCACCACTCATGCTAGAGGGAAGCCTAGACTTACACCCTAGAAAGGAATCTGAAAAACCTGTTTCCACATTTCATGAGGCAACAGCTTCTGTGAGGTGTGGCCCTGGGACCAGGGAGAGCACATACAATCTCATGAGTCTCATGCCCCCTGGCTTGACAAGTAGACCCCAAAGGGCCAGGAAGTGCGATCCACCACTGCCAATATAAAACACGTTCTGTACTGTAGACCAGGCATCGCTGGAACAGCCCCAAACTACTAGATGAGGGTTGGGGTGAGGACACAGAGAGGAAAAACATGAAGACAGTCCTTTACCCAAAAACGAGCCCCAAAAGTCAAAACTCTGAAACCCATGAAGATGTCTAATGCTAAGAATAATGGCCACCAAAATCAATAATCCTAATATGAATTAACTCTAGATGAAATTAAAATAATACAACAGTCTGGGAGTGAAAAGACTTGAAGGTAAGCGTATTTGGGATCTTCCTTGAGAATAATGAAGAAATAACATCTGTGAAAATAACAGACATGGAGGGGGTAGGGGAGGAGGCAGAAATGTAACCAGATGAGGCAGCCATGAAAAAGTACCTTTTAAAAGGAAATACAGTAAACTTCCATTTCCAGGGAGATGGAGTAGGTGCACTCTTTCCTATTCTTTCAGCAAAGCACAACTCAAAACAACTTTTAAAAAGACTCTAAAAGGTAGAGAGAAAAAGGCAGGCTGGGCTGGGTTGCTCAGGACCCCAGGAGTGGTGAGCAACTTGAGTATTCTTTTGCATCATGTATTTCAGACTTAAAGCCAAAGAAACTAGCAACCTGGAAATGCCAATGAGTGCAGACAAAAAAGACTCCCCCAAAAGCCTGCTCTCTTAAGCCAAAAAAAAACACCCCAAAAACCAAACAAACAAAAACCAGGAAAGGGACAGCCTAAGAAGACAGAAAACATTTAGACAATAATCACTCTACACAAGCCAAACACCACAGAAAAATTGGCGACCCATCACCACTCATGCTAACAAAAGCCTAGAGGGAAGCCAAGACTTACACCCTTGCAAAGCTGCAGTGAGGTGCCGTACCCCATGTTCCTGATGGGGTGGTATAAGAGAAGGCCAAAAACTTCCCAAATCTGATTAAATACATTAACCTGCACATCCAAGAAGCTCGCAAACTCCAAGTAGGATAAACTCAAACATCATCATAAGCAAACTCATCATAAGCAAAATCTCAAAATTCAAAGACAAAGAATCTTGAAAGCAGCAGAAGAGAAGGAAGTGATCAGTGTGAAGTGTCGCCGGTAAAATTAACAGC